TGGAAGAAGGATCTGGAAGAATACAACTACGTGTATGCTTTGACGCCACATCCCGCAACCGGGTATTCCCCAGCAGAAATATTGTTTGGACGAACATTTCGAGACTGGATTCCACGTATTTCCCAATCGGACGAAGGTATGGATGCAGAAGTGAGAGATAATGACAGGACCTACAAGTTAAAATCTTGAAATCGGTGATCAAGCCCTAATGAAGAACTTGAACCCTGCTAATAAGTTGGCGGCTAATTTTCATCCGGAACCTGCAAGAATTGTCCAAAAGCAAGGAAATTCTGTTCTTGTTGAAACACCTACAGGCGAAAAATATCGGCGTAACTTAACTCATCTGAAGAAGATCCAGGGTCATGATGGAATTGAAGCTGAGGCTGATACTGATCAAGCTGTGGAAAAGGATAACGACGAGTCGTTTGAGTGGACAACTCCTCCAGAACAACAACGTGAATCACCAAGACCAGGAAGGAACTTGGGGGGTTCCAACGATTCTACAGGTTTTCCAACAGGGTAGCCAACCTCCTAGCTGAGGCGCAGAATTAGAAGGCCACTGAGATTTGAAGATTATTATATTTTTTTCCTTGGTTTGTTTTTTCCGTCGATCTTGTTTTCCGTGCTGAGCACCAATGCTACCGACGTGCCAGGAAGGCAGCCCAAGTGAGCTAGTGGAACGTGCCGTTTGTGAACCCTGCCTCAAAGGAAAGCAGGTGAGAAGGGCGGCCTTCACAGAGATGCCTTTGCCTCGTAGTTCCCGTCCCCTCGAACTCATCCATAGCGATGTCTGCGGAGCCATGACACCGGTGGCGTATAACCGTAAGCGATATTTTGTTTCCTTTACGGACGATTTTTCCCATTTTACTGCTGTATATATGCTGAGCACAAAGGACGAGGTACTTGAAGCCTTCGAAACATACGCTGCGATGGCTGAATCGCATTTCGATAGTCGAATATCCCGTCTACGTTGTGACAATGGCGGGGAATATGTTGGAGAAAAGTTTCGGAGTCTTTGCCGCAGAAAAGGTATACAGCTTGAATACACCGTTCCGTATACGCCACAACAAAACGGTGTCAGCGAGCGGCTCAACCGCACAATAATGGACAAAGCAAGGGCGATGATTGAGGATGCAAGAATGTCGAAGACACTGTGGTGTGAAGCAGTTCTGGCGGCGGTTTACATCATCAACCGAAGTCCAACAGCGGCATTGACGGTCAACAAGACACCATATGAAATGTGGTATGGACACCGGCCTGACGTTTCGAAGTTTCGCATCTTCGGTGCCAAAGCATTCAGTTTTGTGCCGAAGGAGAAGCGGAACAAGCTACAGTCCAGGAGCAAAAACTGTTATTTTGTCAGGTACAGTGCCAATGGATATCGGATGTGGGATTCGCGGAAGGTGTTCATTGCCAGGGATGTTGTCGTGGAAGAACTGCCGTTGAAATCAGAGGCGGCGCGCTGTCCTGTTGCAAAGCAGAGCTGTGACCGAGTTGATTTGGTGGGGCCATTCACTCCATCGTCGGCCACAGAAGAAAAACATGACGTACCAGACATCGTTGAAGCGGATCCAGCTGTTCAGCTGGAAGCTGTTGATGTCCATGAAGAAGACAATTTTGATGACTGCCTGTATGAATTGGAGCTGTGTGAAAATGAGTCGGATCCTTTGGAAATTCGCCGAAGTCAGCGTGTTCGAAATGCTCCGGTCAAGCTGGATGACTACTCGTGTGTCACTTATGCACTCAATGCAGAAAATTACGTGGAGAACCTACCTGAGACCATCGATGAGCTTAAATTGCAACCTGATTGGCTGGAATGGAAGGAAGCAATAAATGATGAGCTGAAGTCATTAGCCGAAAATGAAACATGGGACCTGGTTGACTTACCAGTGGGTCGAAAACCCGTAGATTGTAAATGGGTGTTTCGACTGAAGACAAACCCTGACGGATCTATCAACAAAAAGAAAGCGAGGCTTGTTGCTAAGGGTTTCACTCAGCGCTACGGATATGATTACCGTGAAACCTATTCCCCTGTCATTAGGATGTCAACTGTACGTATGATGCTCGCTTTGGCAAACCAAGAAAATCTCGTTGTCCATCAAATGGATGTGAAGGCTGCATTTCTGAATGGTACGCTAACCGAAGACATCTATATGAAGCAGGCCAAAGGATTTGAGGAGGGGTATAAAGTTTGTAAACTGAACAAATCGATTTACGGGCTGAAACAGGCCTCTAAGGCATGGAACGACCGGTTCAATGAGTTTGTGGCTAAAATTGGGTTTCGATGTTGTTCGGAGGACAGCTGTTTGTACGTACGACGGAGCAAGTCTGGACCTGTGTATTTGTTACTGTACGTGGATGATGTGCTTATCATTTGCAAAGATTTGTCTCAAGTGGAAGTGGTGAAAAGAATGCTGCAGTGTGAGTTTCGTATGGTGGACTTGGGAGAGGCACAGATGTTTTTGGGACTCAGGATCGAATGAAACATTAGCAAAGGGATTATGAAGCTTAGTCAGCCGGCCTATACCGAAGCAGTTATTCGTCGGTTTGGTATGGAATCGTGCAAGCCTACGTCTACTCCTATGTGCTCCAACTTACAGTTGCATAGACCGGAAGAAGATGAGAAGCTCGATAAACCGTATCGTGAACTGATTGGGTGCCTGACTTACCTCATGATCACATCACGTCCAGATCTAAGTTCAGCCGTTTCTTACTTCAGTCAGTATCAATGCAATCCGTCACAAGAACATTGGTCACATCTGAAGAGAATATTGAGGTACCTCGGAGGAACTACACAGTATGGTTTAATCTATCGACGACAAAAATCAGTTGAGCAGATAGTCGGTTTCGCGGACGCAAACTGGGCAACAGATCAAGGTGATAGACACTCCGTTTCCGGATATGTGCTCAAGACATATGGTGCGACTACATCGTGGAGCACCAAGAAGCAACGAACAATTGCACTTTCTTCAACTGAATCAGAATGCAGTGCTCTTGCCGACTGCATATGTGAAGCTCTCTGGATCAGCAAATTATTTCAAGAATTGGAAGTTCGTGATAAGCATTCTGTCATCATATTTGAAGACAACCAGTCAGCAATAGCAATCGCCGGATCGGAAGCGCCATCTCGGAAGCTGAAGCATTCCGATGTAAAACTGCAGTTCATGAAGGAATGTGTCGCAAACGGAAAGATAAGTGTACAATACAGAGCTAGTAGTGACCAACCAGCGGATCTAATGACCAAGGGTTTGCCGTTAGCCTCTTTCAATAAGCATTGCTTGTCTCTGGGGATTCAATAGTGATTAACTTGAGGAGGGGTGTTGAGATCAACTGATCACTACAGTTTTAGAGTGTATATGAGACTACCTTTTATTATAAACACCTTGGTCAGTTTGACAGATTCATAAGACGAGATAAAATAAACTTCATTCTGTTCTTGAATTCCATCCGAATCAAATGCGTGTTAAATACTTTCTTTATCTGCTACCGAAAGTCTTCTCAGCTCCCACACCTGTACCCTACCTATCGACCCATCAACTCATGAACCGGGGACCAACGGCTTTACTTCCCATCGGAAGGAAGGCGTGATCAGAGATGTTATGCCTCAGAAAATCCCGGCGGCGCCGACTGGGATTGAACCCAGGCCTGCTGGGGTGAGAGGTAATCACGCTTACCACTACACCACCGGCGCCGTTATTAGTATTATCTTGAAAACTGTTCATGTGATTTCTGGACAGTCACTCTTTAGGTTTTTAAGGCTGTGAACCATTTGCCGAGTTAAATTTAACTCGTGGTTAAAAGTGACATTTCGAAAGTTATTTTCTATGTTCGAAAATCCCCGTGCTGTCGATCGACCGGTTTTTGAGCCACAGTTGTCAAAATTTAACTTCTTGTCTGTCAGAAATAACCATGCTCGGATAGCAGGGTTAATCGATAACTTTCCATCTGTCAAATTTTAACCAAAAGTTAAAATAATCCACCAAATGGTTCAGAGCCTAAACAAGTCCAGTAGACTTGTGGAACATGGGTAGAAAACGGGGTAAATGCAGGAGGACTTAAATGGCAAGTCCTGAGAATTTGCTAGGCAAGTTCGGAGCACTGCAGCATTGTTCAACTTTTCAACATTTCAGAATAGTCGACTAAGCGAAAAATATGATGATAAATTCATAAGCTCGTAATCTCTTTCGTATTTTGATAGAACAATAAAACACCAGGACTGCTGTTTCCCGTCCCCTCAGCTATTCACATCGGGAATAACATTACCCATTTCTACCTGGATCGATGGCCAAAGCGATGTGTGAAAACCAAATTGCTGGTTCACGCTTCTACATAGCGAGATATCCATCCCTCGTTTTCCCCATACTGGCTACTGAAAATGGTTCAAGGTCGCTGTATCTACATGGACTGCAATTTAGTGCGATTGAAATTGTCTCGAATCAACCCCAAGCACAGTCGGCGAATACCCGGCACTCGCGTCGTAATTCGATCGAATTAGACGAGCTTTTTGATTTAATTCACTTAACATAATGTCCTGTGCGTCTCCCCCACTCCTGGGTCATTCGACAGCTAGCGGACCATTGTTTACAAAACGCTTCAACCCCCACGAGAGCATTCGGGTCGCAGTGGTCCATCCAGCTGCAATGGGTACGGTGCGGAGTGTGATGTAACCATTGTTGTAGTGACTCGTGCATCGCAGGAACGGTGGAAACAACCAAGGATGGACATCAAATCCTGGGTAAGAAAATTGTGCAATATGTATAATAATCGTGCTTTAGGTTTTCACCTCCCAGGAAGCACGTGAGTAAACACTCACCGTGACTCGTTCGGGCTACGTCGCAAATATGTCCCCCGAGAACGGAAACCACAAAAGTGTCCCCGAGACTCTGTGACGTGTTGAATGCACTGTTGCAAAAATGAACCAGAAACGACGTGAGCCTTAAGGAATTTCCAACGAAAAAACTTTCACCGGTGTCTACTTTCTCTACCAAACGTGCAGAATGTTATTTGTGCTATAAAAGCAAATGTTCTGACGAAATCGCTGCTCAGTATTAGTTCGCCCCCGAAATAACCACAGCTAGGCAGCAAGATGGACATCATAGTGCAGGAATCGGACTTCTGTGAGGAGATTAATTTTGAGTCTCCTTGCCCAAGCCCAGAAGAAAAGGATACCTTGAACATGAATTTCTTAACTATCAATGGTCGCTTCACGCCAAACTCCGGCCGTTCATCCGCCTGTTCGACGCGTAGTGTCAGCTTGGCCACGACACCTGTTCCGCCGGATGATGACGACGAGGAAGAGGACGAAATTACCATCAATATCCATCACCGTGTGCCCTCTAACAAAAACATTTTTCAAACAACGGGTAGAGCAACTCCAGTTTTTACCTGGAATCCACTACCCACGCCGAATAGTATCGTGTATACCAAAGATAGTGATAACCAAGTGAAATTTTCAAGGGTGAATTTAATGGTGGGCTCTCCAATTAACTGTGAATTAAGTGGCCGTTTTTTCTTCTCTTGATTACAGTTTGAAGATGATTCGTCGGATACGGCAAGTTCCAATGTCAGCGATGCCGACGAAGAAAATGGGGGAAAGAAGAATCCTGCTGACTGTTACCCGAATTGCGATGTCAACGTTTGGCTACGATCCTGCGAGGAAGAAATCGTTAATCCTATCGAGGGTGAAGTGAGAGGAACAGTCCCAGAGTGGCTGAATGGAAGCCTTTTGCGGAACGGACCGGGAAGCCTGAAGGTCGGAGAGATGAGATTTAATCATCTGTTCGACAGTTCGGCCCTGCTGCATCGGTTCAACATCGAAGACGGGAAGGTTACGTACCAGTGTCGATTTTTGAAATCTGATGCCTACAAAAAGAACAAAGCCGCCCAACGGATTGTAGTGACTGAGTTTGGAACTAGCGCGGTTGCAGATCCATGTCATACCATTTTCCACAAGTAAGTTGGCTTTCAAACTGTCTAAAGTTAGAATTGTTCATTGTATGTTACTTCTAGGATCGCTGCCATTTTTCAAAAACCAGGAGAGAACAATTCGGACAACGCACTGATATCCATCTATCCTTTCGGGGACGAATACTTCGCTTTTACTGAGAGTCCAATCATCCACAGGATAGACCCGGAAACTTTGGGTACCGAAGCAAAGATTAACGTTTCCGATTACGTGGGAATCGTCAATCACACTTCTCATCCACACGTCATGTCCGACGGAACCGTGTTCAATCTGGGCTGTTCGGTAACCAAGACGGGTCCTGCGTATACAATCATCTGCTTCCCACATGGTGAACAGATGTTTGAAAACGCCCGAATCGTTGCTTCAGTCCCAGCCCGCTGGAAATTCCACCCAGGATATATGCACACATTCGGAATTACGGAGAATTTCTTCATCGTGGTGGAGCAGCCTTTGAGTGTATCCGTTCCGTCGATGCTAATAAGCCAGATCAAGAACGAACCAATGGCTTCTTCCCTAAAGTGGTTCAAAAATCAACAGACCTATATCTACTTATTGGATCGTGATTCCGGAGAGCTCAGACACACGTATCACGCTGAATCGTTCTTCTACCTTCACATCATCAATCAGTACGAAAAGGACGGTCATGTAGTGTTGGACATCTGCTGCTACAAAGATCCAGCTATGCTCAACTGCATGTACATTGACACAATGAAGAACATGCAGCAGAATCCAGACTACGCAAAGATGTTCCGTGGACGACCGCTACGATTCGTGCTTCCACTGAACTACAAAGATGACATGAAGCGATCATCGTCCAGTGTTTTTTCAATGGCACGTTCCTGGACTTGTTTGATGAATAAGTTGAGTGTAACGGATGATGACGATGAAAAAATTGATAACAATGAAGATCGTGACGATTTGACGTTGAGAAATCTTGTCACGTTGGAAAATACCAAAGCAACTGCATACTTCATGCCAGATGCGTCTGTGTTCTGCAAGCCGGAGTTGCTCTGTGACTTGGGATGTGAAACACCACGGATCCACTACGAGGAAAATCTGGGCCGAGATTATCAATACTTCTATGCCATCAGTTCGGATGTGGATGCAAACAATCCGGGAACGTTGATCAAGGTGGACGTCGTGAACAAAACCAAACTGACGTGGTGTGAAGAGAACCTTTATCCAAGCGAACCGATCTTCGTGCCCAGTCCAGATCCACAGTCGGAGGACGACGGGTTAGTACTAGCGGCAATGGTATGGGGTCGCGAAGAGGAGAATCGCGTTGGATTGCTAGTGCTGGATGCAAAGACATTTACCGAGATTGCCAGAAGTGAGTTCACTACTCCCGGACCTGTGCCCAAGTGTCTACACGGATGGTTTCAATCGTCGATGAAAAAGGCAAACTAATGACCCAAGGTGTGAGCAAATAACCAAATCAATCAATCGATTTCACCTCCCTCCCTCCTCTCCCTGTGTATGGTGATTTACTGACAAATGTAATCAATTATGCATACATGCAGAGTAAAGCACATTACCACCTAGCATGATGGGTGTATTTGGAATGTTGTATTGAATGTTAGCGCTGGTCACAAATATAGTTGATGTTTTACAATCACGCAATACTTATTCCTTACAAAGGTTCGAAAGATAGCCTTACAATAATTGGCAGATATGGGAAAATCTAAATTTTTAGTCACATTCGTTGCGATGATGGTTACTGTGGTGCAGCTTCTAGTCCTGATCCCATTTGCTGGCTGTATTTCAGTAGGTAAGTGGAATAGTTAAATCAATGTTCAAACAGGAAAACGGATTGAACATCTATCAAGTGCAAATTTTTTAGACTATCGTGCAAAACGCCAAGCCATTTTCGATACCGAAAAGAAACTTTCCACCGGAGGACATTCGATTCTAACAGCGATAGAATTGAAAGCCGACGAAGTCCTTATGAATATAAAAAATAAAACTATTTCCGAGGGAGTGATCAATCCCGAGTCCTACGCTCCAGCCATGCACTTTTTCCATGCAAAACCCATCATCGATAATAGTAGCATTTTTCAAATTATACGCGCAATGCCCAAGGGATCGGTTCTTCACCTGCACAATACGGCAGCGGTTAGTTCGGAATGGGTCATCCGAAATTTAACCTACCGACCGGAAGCGAAGCTTTGTGAACATGCAGGCAAAGTTCACTTCACAACCCGCGCATCCCAGGAATGCCCAGAGGAATCCCTCAAGACAATACAATCGCTTCGTGCCAAAAATGGCACGAGCGAAGCTTTCGATTACTGGCTCGAGTCTTTGATAAATTTGAAATTGAACGACCCGGAGCTGATGCACGCTGACATCAATACAGTTTGGGTCCAGTTTGAGAAGATGTTCACGGTCTTGCGCGATTTTATCACCTATAAACCCTTTTTCGAAGCGTTGCATACCCAGTTGTTGCAGGAATTTTACGAAGATAATGTTTTGTACATCGAATTTCGGATGCCCCTGTCGAAATTGTACGATTCAAATGGTAAGACGTACAATGAATCCGAGGTGGCAAAGATTTTGATACGATTAATAGAGGACTTCAAGCAGGATCACCCGGACTTTGTCGGGGCAAAGGTCATATTCTCCAAACACCGGGGCGTGGATAGTGGAACAGCGCAGGATCTCCTGAAAGCTTATGTGAAATTGAAGTAGGTAGATTCCCAACCCCAGCGGATTGATTATTTACATCTGTAAAAAATACACTTCCAGCAAGGAGTTTCCGGATCTCGTCGTCGGTTTCGATTTGGTTGGACAAGAAGATATCAATCAACCGCTGCATATCTTTCTGGACGAGTTACAACAATTCAGACACACTACTCCCTATTTCTTTCACGCAGGAGAAACGAGTATTTCAGATGAATTGAAAACATTCCACACGAGTGATGAAATTCAATAGGATTTTACTTTCAGATGGGTACGGAAGTGAGTCGGATCTCAACCTGATTGATGCAATACTGCTAGACAGTCGTCGCATTGGTCATGGATTTTCACTTTACAAGCATCCAATACTACGGAAAATGGTCAAATCGGAAGGAATAGCATTGGAGGTATGCCCACTTTCCAACCAGGTACTAAGATTGGTGAGTGATCTCCGAAATCATCCGGCGGTGTTTTACGTTTCGGAGAGTATTCCCATTGTCATATCAAGCGATGATCCCGGATTTTGGGACAGTAAAGGAGTTAGCTATGACTTTTACTATGCTTTGATGGCGATTGCACCTAGTTCGACAGGAATTGGATTTCTCAAACAAATTGTATGGGATTCAGTGAGGTATGGATACCGGATTTATAAATCTCTGGATATCAGTAACAACTTATAACGATTTAATTTTAGGTACAGCTCGCTAACGGCAAAAGAGCGGACGGAGTATTCCGAAACACTTCAGCCCAAGTGGGACCAATTTCTGAACGATATCATCTCTGGTAAACTGGTTGGAAAATAAATTGATTAGCACCGCTTTTTACAATAGTATCACATCACTGCGGAAGAGATGAACTAGCCTCAGGCTAAAAATCTCTAAAATAAAGCCAAAAAAAAAAAAAAAAAACATCACTGCGGTTGCCGTTTTTGCTGCATAAAATTCTTGCAGCATATCACAATCTGATCATAGCACCGTCTGAATGCATGAATTCCTCGTTCCTAGCAAAGAAATAAAGAAGAATGAAAACACGCTACATGATTTGAAACGAAATTAAATGTTCTGCACTTACGAAGTAAGGATCAAAAATAATTTTATCCAACTCCTTCATCCTGTAGTTCCCCAGTAGCTCTATCTTCGCCTGACAATTTTCCGGTGCCAACTCAAGCAAGTCTCTCACATTGCCCTCGTCCATCCCGAAAATGTAATCGAACTGCTGGAAATCGACCTCCCCGATCTGCCTCCCGATGTGGTTCGAATCCAGTCCATTCTCCCGTAGCACCGTCAAACACCGTTCTTCCGGCGATCGACCAACATTCCAGTCGGCCAAGGCAGCACTGTCGACCATCCAGTCGAGATTTTCCTGCAGCAAAATATCTCTCATCACAGCTTCTGCCATCGGTGATCGGCAAGAATTTCCTAAGGCAACCAAATTCAGTTAGAAAAAGTAATCCTCAGCTGCTGAGTGTTAAATTACCGATGCAAACAAACAGGATTCGCATCCTGACGGCGTGGGTTTTCCGACTGAAATTGCAATGCTGTAACTGTTTCCACCAGATGAATCACACTGTCTCATTGAGAGGAGCATTTTATTCACTGCAGTAGCGCAAAGAAACATTTACAGCTGTTGTTGGAATTGCCTTACTGATGTTTGGCCGGTATTGAACTACATGTGTTAAGTGAACCCTACACGATTGCTTTTATTGACAATAATCGTATTGTCAATACATGCTATATTGACGTCAATATATCGAGATTGACAATATTTCTGAATTCAAATCATCAATATTATTGTCAATAATTCCCCTTCGCGTCAATATATTGATGCGTGTGGGGTTTGCTTTAGTCAAGCATTAAATTTTGATGATTCCAACATACTATATTGAAATTTTAAAATGTTCGAAAGTCTTCCAGAAACTTTTTAGCTCATGTTCCTAAACAATATTATGAATATTAAAAATTAATTAAGATTTGCTTGTAATTGGTCTATTCAGTGCAGTATGACAGTATGGGGATTCTTTGAACTTATTAAAATGATCTAGGATGTTCCTGCAGTTCTCGCAGTTCGAGAATTTTGTGAATCGGAATTCTTCGGATATTGGATAATCGGAATTGTTAGCCGAATCTCAGAGCTATGACAAATCCTGGGTGATCGCACACGATAGGACCCTACGGCGTTGTGATCAGTATAAAATTAAATTATAAGACGACCGTATATTCTACCGACCAATTCCACCTCAGGTAGCGAAGGTGGTTTCGAGACGATTGAATATATTTCACACACGATACAATAAACGAACAAACACAATACCGTATTGTGGCATTACAATGTTAACAATAGTACGAATAGGGAAGTGGCACGTTGCCCAAATACTGGGACTTAAGGATTTTGAAGATTTAGGTGTTCCAGGAGTAGCGTCATTTACTGCAGCTTTGCAAGTTTACGTTGTGAAAATGTTCCGGAGGTCCAGTACGTCGAAAAAAATCGGGCCAAGAGTGTCACGAATTTCTGTAATTCCAATAATTCCAAGATTATCTGGAACCCGCAGTTTTCGAATGACAGTGCCAGAAGTGACGGTAATTCCAAAAGAACATGTACTGGCTTATATCACATATTTTGAACGATCTTGAGTTTCGAGAGTTTTTAAAGTCCCGGAAATTTCTGGAGTTCTGAAAAATGGCTTCCGGAAGCGATTTCAATGTACCAGAGGTTAATTTTTATACAGATTGATCTCGATTTAGCCAACTTCATTCAACCGGCACAGAAACAGGGCGCAGTGATGATGGTCTACGGACTCGGTACCGCCATGGTCCAGATGGGAGACGCCATCGCAGTTGAACCAGTCGAACGCAGCATCCAGCACTTGAACAACATTGCATTAATGGAAATGATGTGTGTGTGTGTTCAAACCAGTTCTCGAAATAAATTTCCACAGCAGTATGGTTTGTTGCACGGCTTGAAACTAAATTTATTTCATATTAGTTTGTATAATTGTATATAATCTATTTAATAACTCACATTTATGGTTTCTTTGTTCTTTTCAGGTTACGTTGACGGGAGCCTTTCCTGAACTTCGAATTGCATCAACATCTAAATAAAAGCGACGATTTTAAACACTGTCCCAAAACATGATTGTTTTACTTACAATATAAATGCACTTTTAAATTTATATTGAACTGCACTGAAGTTAAATTAATTCAAATGAAAATTGCAAAAATAACTAGGTTCTTTACTACACTTCGATATCTCCGTTACTGTCTTTGTCTACCTTATCCATGTACCTATTCCCAAGCTCACACACACTCTCAGCCGATTCCTTTCCGCACGGTCCTTCACTGACGTTTAGGATAAACGTCTCTTGCGCTTCACAGGTAGGGTATGGCGCAAAGTGTATTGATAGTACTCGGCGGTGCGCACATACCTCCCTCCCCGTAATTCTGGTGAGGGTCCCTCCGTTGTGCCAGATTTACGATCCTGGACTTCCAGCACCGCCAACTTCGTTACAGGACGCGACGCCTGTACTCTCCTTTCACCGTCTTCACCGACGCTGGCCTGATTCTGCCGTCTGCTCCAGGGTATACTTCAACTACCACGCCGCGTATCCAAGTCTTCCGTGTGGCTTCATCAGCGATGACTGGTTGCGTCTCCGATTGCCACAGCTGATCTGCCAAAGCTTGCGATCGTTTGAAACTGTCCCGCAAAGCTTCAGCTTCGTTCGTGCTGGGAACCAGTTCCACTTTACCGGTCATCCCGATATCTTTCACGAAGTGATTCGGCATAAGGGCTTCGTTTGCATCCGATCCAAGGCCACGGTACGTTAAAGGGCGGGAATTGATCAGGTCTTCTGCCTCAGCCAACGTAGTCAGCAATACTTCGTCCGTCAATCGTCTTCCGTCGTTGAACACCACCAAAGCTGCTTTCACTGAACGGATCAACCGCTCCCAAATTCCGCCCATATGGGGCGCGCTCGGCGGGTTGAAGTTCCAGCGAGTTCTAGCGTCTGTCATCGCCTCCTCGCAATCTCCCTCTATCGTCCTAACTATCTCCTTGCTCGCACCTTGGAAGTTCGTGCCATTATCAGAGAAAAATTCCACCGGCTTGCCCCTTCGGCACACAAATCTTCGAATCGCCATCAAGCATGCTTGCGTCGTCAGACCATGAGCGACCTCCAGATGGATTGCTCTTGTAGATAGACATGTGAATAGGCATATCCACCGCTTTTCCGACCTACGACCAACCGTGACTATTAGCGGTCCGCAATAGTCCACTCCAGTGAAACTGAATGGTTGCCAACCAGGGGTGACACGAGCCAACGGAAGTGGAGCCATTCTCGGGATCTTCGGCTGGCACTTCTTTACTCTGCACCACACACACGCCTTCGTCACTGCCTTCAATTCTGTTCGGAGATTTGGGATCCTGAAACGCTGTCGGAGTTCGTTGACCACAGTTTCCCCATTTGCGTGTGCCGCTTGTTGGTGATGATATTCCAGCAACTTCGTCGTGATTGGGTGCTTCTTAGGCAAGATTACCAGGAATTGGAGTTCAAAGGGAAGGAGTGAACCCTGTGCGGAGGACACCTTGCTCGTCTAAAAACGGGCTGACGTCGTACAAATTGCTATTCTTCTCCAACGGATGCCACTCGCTGTACGGAAGGTCACGGTTCTTCACAATGATCTTTATTTCATCTTCGTAGGCCTCTGCCTGCGCCGACCGCCAAAGGTAGGCTTCAGCACGTTGAAACTCCTCTCGCTTCAGTGGAACCAACACAGTTAGTATAGACCTCTTCACCAACCGTTGCACCCTTGGTGGTGCTGAAATCACCTCAATCGCCAAGCCTTCCCGTTTCCTGATACAGTTGGACCTGAACCTGTAGATGCAGGCTACCGTTTGGACGAGAACCTTCCAACGAGAGAAACGCGTGGCATCGATTACCGTCTCGACTATCAAAATATCGTGGAACAAATAGCATATTCGGGCTTCCTCTGGGGTATTCGGTTCTACGGTATCTTGCTGCGACCATTCCTCTTCTGGCTGGTACACGGACCACGGACCGTTCGAATCTAGACTGCTGCCCTTTTTCCACTTCGTTAAGTCGTCCGCAATGTTACTCGCCGTTGAAATCCATCGCCACTCACTATGCTTCGTGAGGCTCAGAATCTCGCCAATCCGGAAAGCGACGAATGGCTTGTATTTGCGTTGCTCCGACTGAGTCCAAGAAATCACTGTTCTGGAATCGGACCAAATGAACCGCTTCTTCACCACCAATGAATGAGCCTCGATCACCGAATTCATCAACCTGGATCCTATGACCACAGACAAACAGACGTAACTCTTTGAAAAACTTGTTCTTGAAAACATAGTATCTCAAAACATATAACCTCAGTAACGACATCTCTCTGGCTTCTCGCGGAAAACAAGCTTGCTCGCTAACTCGTAAACAATATTGCATAAAAGTTCTGTAGAATGTATAGAAACGTCAAAGTGATCTGATGCCAGCACTGCAGCGAGTAGTTCGCGGAACTGATAATATTCAAATCAACCGTTAAATGCATGAACGAAGATACACAATGAAGAGTTACGTATGTTTGTCTGTGCTATGACTGCCGCTTGCAGCTCAAGACGAGGTATTGACAGCATTTTTAACGGAGCGACCTTCGATCTCGCCATCACCAGTGAACACAATGGGCCTTCATCTGTTAACACACGGAAATATGCAGCAGCACCATATGCATCTTTGCTGGCATCAACGAGGACATGGAGCTGTAGAGTGCTGTAGTCGACTGAACTAAACCTTCGAAAATAGTGGCGTGGAATCTTCACATTTTAAATCTCCGGAAGCCAACTGATCCATCGGTTCCACTTATCACAGCATTCGTCATCAATAGGTTGATCCCAGTTGCAGCCACTACGCCATAAATCTTGAATTAGTATTTTTCCGTGGATAGTGAACGTTGCTAGCATCCCAAGGGGATCAAAAAGGCTCATGACACAGCTCATGATCACCCTTTTTGTCGGCCTTTGCTCTCCTGACAGATACGTCATCAGTTCATCCCGTAGCTTCACTAGAAACGTGAATTCATCCCCTAAAGGGCACCAAGCTATGCCCAAGACTCGTTCCAAACTCGTACCCATGTCTTCGGTGAGCTGAACACATTTGTTACTTTTCTGCTCCCCCATGCTCTGCAGAAATTCGTCGGAGTTGGCCACCCAGTTGCGGATTTCGAAACCAGCCTTCGAGTGTACGTTCTTCACCTCCTGGGCTCGCTTAACCGCCTGCTCTACTGTATCCATGCTGTCGAAATAATCATCGACGTAATGGTTACGTGATATAGGCTGTAATGTGAACGGGGTATTACCAACAATCAATACGAAACTAACGATTTTAAATTGGCTCACCACTTTAGTAGCCTATTGGTCCCAAGCAAACGATTAACGTACCCTATTCTAGTTGAAATTCTATTACTACACTATGTTTGTTTTGATTCGCTATGAAAGTTTGACAGATAACATCAGGGGTGTGTGGATTCATGCAGAACATGCAGGGGTGAGTGAAATAGCTTGGGACTGCTTGGGA